ACATGCCAAAGCTGGCATAATTTGGGAATGCTTAATTGGTTTGTTTAGATAGCTGAATTTTCACCGGTTACCAAATTAGGAATACAGAGAAAAATTAACAATGCCTTCGTTGTAGCCTTGTTTATTACGATTGAACTAATCGATGCTCCGTAAGTATAAAGCTGGACCATTCAAAGTATCTTCGTTTGTGAGCAGCTCCTTCTTCAGAACGAATGGTCCCAACTGTAGTCAAGATGGGACCGCAAGGAGGAGAGGGGGGTCCTTTAACAGTGCTACGTTGCAGGCTGCCATACGAGACGGCTCAGAAATATTGAACACCTGTCGTTGCTTCTACTTTGAGTTCACTCCCTGGAGTATGTCTAGCAATGAAGATTTGGAAACGTGGAAAAGGCCTCTCAGAACTGTTTCCACCCGGTGTCATTATTATTTTTAATGTCAGTCTGCTGCCGTCTGTTGATTTTATGGAAATGGTAAGACTGGAGAAAAATGGACGTTAAATGAACTAAGAGAAGTAGGGTTCGCTTTTGTGAAACATTAGTCATGGAAATGGAGCATGAATATTAGTCTTAGTTCAGTAATCGTGGGTAACAGTGGATCCGTTTGAACGATGCCACAACAGCTTATCACTACTTATTAAGGAGGCTAATTGAAGTTTGAGGGAGCAGTGCGATCCAAGAAGACCTAGCGAATACAAGTGACTGCCTCAGACTTAGCTTGAGGAAAGTAGAAGAACCTGAACTGAGGATCCAATCATTGCAGCACATGCCCCGATTTCAATACCATACGAAGTAGTCGTATCTTGTAGCATTATGTGCTCATGGCAGGTACGGGAATTTTGACCAGATATAAAGCAAAGAACGGTTTCTCGTGGAAGCCTATCGAGCATATCCCCCTCCGTCAAGATATTCACACATCCTGTTCTCCCACAGTACCCATTCCTAGTTTTATATTAACCGATTATTGGTAAGTATAAGGAGGGGCGTGGCCAAACTTACTTGTCCATGATGATCTCCACCATGTTCCACATTTTCAAGTCGCAAGTTTTGACGAAGTCGGATTTGACGCACTTCAGCATGCCGTCG